TACTCGCCTGATAACTGTTGTTATAGGCAAACTCCACAAGTGCCAAATGGTTGTCCCAACTCCCTTGGAACTCCAATGCACAAGCTCTCAGCATATCCTCTAATATCTGTATAACCCGCTCGGATTGTCCATCCGTTTGTGGATGAAAAGCTGTACTGAATTTCAACTTTGTCCCCATAGATTCTTGGAACTTCGGCCAAAATCGTGATGTGAATCGCGGATCTCTATCGGATACAATGGTTATAGGAACCCCATGCAGCCTCACGATCTCATCCACATACAACTTGGCTAACCTTTCCAGTGCATAGGTGGTGTTGATAGGTAAAAAGTGTGCACTCTTCGTGAGCCTATCAACCACAACCCATACGGCGTCATAGTTCTTAATCGTCCGTGGCAGCCCTACCACGAAATCCGTAGTCACGTGTTCCCATTTCCATTCAGGAATGGATAATGGCTGTAACAACCCAGCTGGATGATGATGTTCTGCCTTAACTTGCTGACAAGTAAGACACCTACTGATGTACTCGGCTATTTCTCTCTTCATACCCGACCACCAGTAACTTTCTTTCAAATCACGGTACATTTTCGTGCCTCCCGGATGCATGGCATATGCTGATGAATGAGCCTCCTCTAAGATGGACTTTCGGAGCTCATCATCCAACGGTACACATACTCGGTCACGAAATAATAAGAGACCATCGTCTCTTTCCCTGAAATCCTCAACCGGTCCCGCTAGCATGCGTTCACGGATCTTCATAAGTTCTTCATCGGTTTCTTGACCCTTCTTGATTCCATCAAGTAATGTAGGTCTCACCTCGAATCTAGCTAACAAAGCACCGTCACTAGATACCTCCAATCGGGCTCTCAATGCCCTCAAACTAGTCAACAATGCCCCAGACGAATTCTTTCGGCTCAGGGCATCCGCTACCACCTTGGCTTTACCGGGGTGGTACTCGATAACTAGATGGTAGTCTTTTATCAACTCCATCCACCGTCTCTGTCCCATGTTTAACTCTTTCTGAGTAAACACGTATTTCAGGCTTTTGTGGTCGGTGTATATATGACATGTTTCCCCGTAAGTCATGGGTGGGATAATTTACCTCATGCTTCTTCAACTGTCGTGATGCATAGGCAATCACCCTCCCGTTCTGCATCAAGACACATCCAAGCCCTTGGATGCTTGCGTCGCTGTAGACATCGTACCCCACACCCTGCTTGGGTAGTGCGAGTACCGGTGCCTCGGTCAATCTCTTTTTCAGTTCAAGGAATCCCTTCTCACATCGGTCATCTCATACAAACTTGGCCCCTTTTCGAGTGAGCTTTGTCAATGGCGATGCCAAAACTGAGAACTTTTCCATGAATTTTCGGTAGTACCCTGCCAATCCAAGGAAACTACGAATTTCCTTGACGTTCTTTGGCCTCTCCCATTCAGTAATGGCCTCAATCTTCTTGTTATCTACGGCAATTCCTGATCCCGAAACCACATGCCCGAGAAAGCCAATCTCCCTTAGCCAAAATTCACATTTGGAAAACTTGGCGTAGAGTTGCTTCTCCCGTAGTGTCTCAAGAACAAGTATCAAGTGCTCTTCATGCTCTTCTTCACTCTTCGAGTAAATCAAGATATCATCTATGAACACAATCACAAACCGGTCCAAGTATTTATGAAATACCCGGTTCATCAAGTCCATAAATGCCGCTGGAGGGTTGGTTAGCCCGAACGACATAACTAGGAACTCGAAATGACCATACCTTGTGCGGAATGCACTCTTCGGTATGTCATCCTCCTTTATTTTCAGTTGGTCGTACCCCGACCTCAAGTCAATCTTCGAAAATACCGTCGCTCCACGGAGCTGATCAAACAAGTCATCAATCCTAGGCAAGGGATACCTATTCTTGATTGTGGCCTTGTTCAGTTGACGATAGTCAATACACATTCGAAGTGTTCCATCTTTCTTTTTCACGAAAAGGACCGATGCTCCCCACAGAGAGTGACTCGGCCTTATGAAACCGTTGTCCAATAGCTCTTGCAATTGGGTTTTCAACTCGTTAAGTTCAGCGGGTGCCATTCTGTATGGCGGTATAGAGATTGGTTTGGTGCCGGGTTCGACCTCGATCAGGTGATGTCAATTTCTTGAGCTCTATGAACCGCCTTCAACCAATCGTGGTAGCATATAAGCATCTCAAGAGATTTTGCGCTCAACCTCGTTCTACATTGCGTTAGGACATTGTCGGCCGAACTAAATTCTTGTTCCACGGCAACTGTTGAAACCGACATTGATAGCACTTGCTTAGCCATCTTTGCTAAAACCGGGAACATTCTTTCTTTTCCCTTCCACCAGTGTAGTACATCAAAATCATCTTCTTCAAAATCAACATCATATCTTAAATACAAAGAAATCTCATTAATTGTGCTTTGTTGCGTATCGGTAGTTGATTTCGTTTTTTTAATAAGATTGGCAAATGTAGATTTAAAAATTGATTTTCCTTTAGATGATGTTTGTGTCAGGGGAGGGGGCGCGTTGTCATATTGTGCATGAAACTCATTAAATAATGCATAAAATATATCACTAACATCATTGTATTCTTTTTTCGGATCAATTAGGTTGTCCTCATACATTGGCATTGGACCAAAAAAAACAGCATAATAATAATTCAAACATTCTTCTAAAGAACCAAGTCTAAAACGAGAATCGAGAACAAATGCAATACCATAAATATGCAGAATATGTGAATAATATTTTAAAAACTTTTCCTTCATAAAACTAGCAAAATAACTCACATAATCAGCATTCTCAAAATTTGAAAAAGCACCGACGAGATTAACAGCTTCACGAATAAATTGGTTTGAGGTAGGTTTATAAACATGACTAAAAGTTCCAGTTGCATTATTAAAATATATCAAAGCATTACAAATTTTTTCACAGGTGTCGATCTCAGCCGAATTTATAATATAGTTATCATATTGTTTCATAAAAGCAGGAAAATGTTGTTTATATCTAAGAAGAACTCTAATTAACTTATAAGTACTATTCCAACGAATAGACAAATCTTGAGGAAAAACCACATATTTCTCACTTCTTTCTATCAAATAATCATGTCATTTTTTCTAAGTTGTCCATTACCCCAAATACGTCTAATCTCCCCCTGACTACCTCCAAAGATGCTCCCAACGCTTTTAGACCATCTTGCACACATAAATTTAGAACATGACATGCACATCGTTGATGAAAAAATCTACCCATCAAAGAAGTATAACCACACAATTCACGCAATTTAGGAATAGCAGCAGTATTATTAGTAGCATTATCAAAACCAATAGCAAACACCTTATCAATTAAATTATACTCAATTAAAATACGCTCAATCAAAATATAAATATGTTCAGCGGTGTAACGATCATTAAATTCACGGAAAACAAGAACACGTTTATGCATATGCCAATCATTATCAATATAATGTACAGTCAGTGACCCAAATAATGTAAATTATGATGAGTATCCTCCCATATGTGAGAACATACAGTAACACGCCCATCAAAGTTTGCAAAATAATTTTGTAACCTTACCTTTTCCGCACCATAAAGCCTTGAAGTTTCTTTCTTAATCGTTTTGCGACTATATCCTCTATATTGCGGATTTAAACAAGTTTGTGCATAATCACGAAAAGCAAGATAAGGCAAACCCGGTCCCGACCCGCACAGTACCGGGTCACGGGCCTGGTGGCCCAAACTGAATCCATCCCTACGCAGATGTAGAACACTTGTTTATTTATGTGCCACATGAGACGTTTAGATAAAATATGATACCATCTTCGATCACAATTGCCAATCCATTCTTGAGTTTTGATTTTGATTAGGGATGGACCGAACCGGGCCAAACCGGCCCGTGAACCGGACCGACCCGCAACTGTGCGTGTCCGAACCGGACCGGGACCGGATGGCTGATTCCAGGCTTTTAGCCCATGTGGGCGGGCCTGGCGGGTCAGGTTCGGATCCTCTTTTAGTTGAACGAGCCTAGGTAGGGGTGGACTCGAGCCGGGACAACCGGCATGGAACCGGACCGGCCCACCACTGTGCGGGCCCGGACCGGCCCGGTGAACCGGTTGGTTGGCCGGTTCGAGCCACCCGGCCCGGTGGATTCTCGGTTCAGGCTCGAGCCCTTCAAAACGTGAATCGGCCCCGCCGGTTCGGGCCCGGGCCGGGCCGATTTTAATTTTTTTTTTTTTTGAATTTTTTTTTGAGTTTTTGGGTTGGGCTGGGTATTTTGGGCCATTTGAGGTGGTTAGGGTTGGTTTGGGGGTGAGGGGGAGGGGTGAGGGTTAACTAGGAAAAGCCCAAAAAAATACCTGAGGCCCGGCCCGGACCGGTTCCGGGCCTCCCATACCTTGAACCTTGGCCCGGCCAGTTCAAGGCCCGAACCGGGCCCGGCCCGAACCGAGTCCATCCCTAGGCCCAGGGGGTTCGGGTCGGGCCCGGTTCTTTTTTTGTGTGTTTTTTCAATTTTTTCTTTTCCTTGGGTAGGACTGGGTGTTTTGGGGAGGTTTGAGGGGTGGGCTGAGAAAGGGGGGGGGGGGGGTCGGGGGATAATTAGAAAGCAAAAAAATTACATAGACACGGGCCCGGCCCGGCCTTGTTAGGCCCAGGCCCGGCCCGGCCTTGTTAGGCCCGGGCCCGGTATCAACCCGGGCTGGTTCCGGGCCCAACAATCTGGAAAAAAAGCTCACCCGGGCCCGGCCGGAACGGCCCGGGTCCATCCCAAGTTTTGATCATTCTTGTTATCTTGTAACTTCCCTCTTCTGTCATGTTTATACTCCGTATAATTTACCTCCACTTGACAACGAAACTGGCTTCTCTATCCATTTTATGTTATGGGTAATACACTAATACTTTACAAATCCCTTAGATTATTATTCTATGTCTCAGCTGTAAAAGATGCTTCAGTTGCAGCTTCAGACTTGAGCAAAGGGATTGAGAATTTGAGATTGGAAGTCAAGCCTAATCCCGAAATTCTCTGATTTTAATATCAGAATATCCACAACAATTCCATAAGTACCAACATTCTAAACATTTTTTTATGCATGACAAGAGATTTGGGTGTGATATAAAAATAGTGTTGTGTCTGATTAAATAAAAGCAAGAAAAATGAGAAGAATGAGAGACTGCAAGCTCTAGGCTAAGGTGAGCAACTACATTTCGAGTTCAGAATTCAGGACATACCACCAAATGAGCATCTAAAGCTTCAAGAAAAGTATAAACCAAGCAATCCCAAATTTATAAGCCCAGCGAAGAAATCCCCTTACATAGGCAGGCCTTGTAAGTTCTGCTAACTGTTGGCTAGTTGACACTGATTGTCCGCCCAAAACATCAAAGTTGCCAAAAGTGCCACCGTGGCAGTTTCAACTCGTAGGCGATGTGGCCCCAGACCTACTGCAGTTGCACCTGCTTCAACTATCATTTTCCTCTCATTCTCAGTGAAGTCTTTAGTATCAAAATCACCCCAGAATCAGATTACAAAAAGTTAAGTTAGAGTTTTTATAAGCAAGCACAAGTTCAATATGTGTGGGAATAAATAGAGCAACTTTCCATGGCTCCATTTGGTAGTTGGTTCATAAGGCTACCAAATGGTTTTTCTGTTTATATGCAGAATAAATACTTTTTTACTTATTTGACTAAAATAATGTCATCTTCTATTGACTCAATGACTTGCGATCTTACTACACTGACCAATAAAACGTCACGATCTTAGTAAATTTATATTTAACCAATACGGTCATGAGTCATCCGAAAACAGTCTCCCCATACTTTAGTTCAGGAGTAAGGTTGCGTACATCCAACCCCTCAGGGGCGGATCTATAATAGAATCAGGGAAAACACCGGCTTCACCTCAGAAATTGTTACTAGCCTATGTGGTAGTGGATCAGAAATTGTTCGAACCTTGTCAAGGATTCACGTAGAAAACTTTGATTTTTTATTACTTTTCGCATGCCAGATTATTCTCGTGAGAGTGGAATTTTAAGATATGTATATCAAGATTTAATATTATTATATTATTATATTCTAAATAATCAAAATTACAAATTCTAACCCATTTCAAACCCCTAGTCTCTCTTCTTTAGAAAAACAGCAGCGCGCGTATCCGCTTAGCACTCTCATTTATAGAAGTTCCGGATTTCCGGCGATTCTTTTCTAGGCTCCGTTTAGGTTTTTTACCTTCTCTAATATTAAAGCCTTATTAGTTAATAATTACTGTTATTATTGTTTGAATCATTATTATTACTTATAACACTCAAATCTGTTTGAGAAGTTGCAAAGGACTAGTCGACCAGTCAGAACAGAGCTGCAATAAATTTGTACTCCGTATTAGATACTCTGGTATCACATATTAACTTGAGGTAAAGTTATTTTAGATTTTAGGGAGAAATAACAATAAGTAGGGGAAATTAAAGTTATTTAGATACCACATATTTACTAGAGCTGCAGTAGTATTTTATATTTGTAACTAGTGGAAAAAAATAACTAATTTTGAATTTAGAGTTTGTTTTTTCATTTTCAGCTAGTATAATACTCCCTCCGTCCCTAATTGTTCTTCCATAGTACAAATGGCACGGGGATTAAAATAGTGGGTATTGTGTGATGCGGAGTTGTGCAGAAAAGAAAGAAATGTGTAAGAATGTGTAAGAATTGATGTGAACCACAAATTCTTTACCAAAAAAGAGAAAGTGAAAGTTTATTTTGGGACACCCAAAAAGGGAAGTTGAATTTTTTTCAGGAATAGAGGGAGTACTATCTTAATATTGTAATGTTCATATTAATATATATGTGCATACACTGAGCTCCTATGCCTAGGTCCGCCACTGCAACCCCCCTTACCGCACCATAGGTGGAAACCTTTGCGGCACTGGGGTAATGTTGTTGTTGTATAATTAACCAATACGGGACAAATACTTCAACTTGGCCACTCAGACTAAACTTGCTTAACTGAGGGTGGATAAATAGGTCAAATGACTCCAAAGCATAATAAATATGTAGTAGTTTTCTTTGCTTATTTGACTGGGATAACGTTATCTTCTATTGATTTGCGATCTATTCTGAAAGGTTAAAGATATTGTCATGATCTTATACATTAACCGATACAATGTCATGATCTTAGGTATTTTGTATTTAAATAATAATAATACGTGAAAAATACTTCAACTTGGCCCCAAATAGTCCAAACTAGCTGAACAACTTGAGGGTGAATAAATAGATCAAACTCACCCTCAAATCATAGGGTTAAACAAACAAACGATAAGATATTTATCCTAACATGACGAGGCTCAATGGTTAAAGATTAATCTGATTATAAGGGTAACACAAAATCTAATATTTAACCAATACGTCACAAATATTAGAACAATACCAAAAGCTTTTCCTGCTTCAAATTAAGAAAATTCTGCTACTTCACCGAATAAACATTACCAAATGAGCCACATGTCTTGACTTCCCTAACTATTTTATAAGGATGTTTTACCTTTTCAATTAAATTAAACTATTGGTATTTGTAATATTTGGGAACAAAAAACAGATAAACAAAGACAATTTGGTGGAACTAGAATTCATTATTTAATTCATAATAATACTGACCTCCTTCTGGTCCTATTACCAATAATCCAGACGATTCTTTTCTTCGGGAATTCAAGGCACTAAAAACCGGCACTGCCTCTGCTAACGCAATAAATGATAATGGCGACGTTTTAACCTTTGGTGTGACCACGCGGCCAAAAATAATCCACGAAAAACATAATTAAAACTTGTAAAAGATGGAAAATGGGAAGGCTTCAAAGAAGTTTAACTGTTCTAAGTCAAGAGGCACCGAAAAAATAATATACTGCAAAAAGAACACCTATGGAAGTCTTTTTCTTTGCTTCGAAGGTAGAAAAAGTAAAAACTACTTGTGACTTACATGAGGCAAGAGCTGAGCAACTTTAATAGGAGGGTTGAAACTCATTTCGTGCAGCCGCTGACCTATTAGAAACTCCTGCTATTAATACTCTGTATATTGGTAGAACAAAGATGCATGCCCATATAAAGTAGGATGGTTACTACACTGCCCTCAAATTCTCACATTGTTTGGATGCAGCAAAACTGACACGTAATAATCTCTCCACACGATTTTCTGAAAGAGAAGAAGACCGTTCTGTCAACAGTGGTGTAATGCTATGGGCCCCCAGCTCCTAAAACAAGAGATGAAATTAATAAGTTACTTACAGCCTGTTTGGTAAGGATTAGTTTGGGCATATCAGCCATTTGTTTCAAAACACTAGGTTACTAACTACAAACACAAAAAATTAGCGCGGGATGAACTGTTTTGGTTGAAATGTCCAAAATAAAATAAAATAATACTTTAACTGTATTTATAAACATAATTTCATTTGTTTTACCAAAATATGTTTTGAAGTGATTTATTAGATATTTCAGCGGTTAGGAACATGAAGAATACCCACAGTGCATTTCTCTACGAGCCAATCAGCACGACCTCCCTTTAGAGTTCCTAAAACAAAGAATTTTTTAAGAATTATTATAAAAGCAAGAAACACAAGAATGAAGTATCCACAGCTTTTAAAAACTCACCGAAAGCAGCAAAGACATGCCATTGAGTCTCCAAAGGTGATACCAACTTGGGATTTTCTAAAGCCACAAAGTTCAGTCCAGATTGATCAATGTCCTGTATGCATCCTTCAACTAAGTTCCCTTTTCCATTAAATAGCTCTACCCTTGTAAAATTAAAACAAGTAACAACACTATTAACTACTATCATATCATGAAGGGGAACACCTGTTTTTTATCAGTTGCTAGAAAAAACGTCTCTGAATTCCACAGACATTTGCCCCATGCTTGGTTAAAATGAAAGGGAGGGGAGTGGAGGAGGATAGGGGAGGTGAAAAAAATTAATGTTTCGCAGCCATAAGACGGTACTTTCCAAGCATGTTGGTAATTACTTCTATTAGTGAAAACACAGTAGTCCTATTTTGGGATATCCCATTATTTTACTCCTCTTTAGGGTAATTTCCGTGATACATTTGGTATTCAAATTATATCCAGCTTATCTATTATGTTATCAAATATTTATTATTCATATTATCAGCTCTACGTAAAACTGATAAAAGTGAAAAATGAAGAAAAGTTGAAATCACCCATCTAAATAAGCTTTCACACACACCAAAAAACAAAATATAAAATAGCTTATAAAATATACAAAAAACTTCAAGCAACAAGGTGTACGTGAAAGAGAGAAGCGATCCAGAGATGCCTGGCTGCGGTACCCAACAGATCAAATGGTCATGGAGCAAGAGAAAATGGATATGGAAGGGGAGAGGTCTTCTGTTAGATATAGTGGGCATCTTTAAGGAACAGGTAGATATATAGGGAGAAAGCCAATGAAAGGTATAAGCTAGATCATCCATCTCCCATCATTTGGGAGGTCCAAACAAAACCAAAGAACTCGGGAATCACTAAAAACATCTTAGTTTTTACTACTGTTATATAAAAAGAGATGAAACATCAGGGGTGATTGTAACTCCTGATTACCTATCGTGAATGGTCAATCTTAGAACTCTAGTCATGTGCCAAAACTCATCTCCTTTGACACGAACAACACTACCCTGCATGTTAACACAGTAGAAAACGGTACTAAACTAAAGAATGAAATTAAAATGTAATTGAAAATCTTTCAGGAAGTGATGAAAATAAATCTTACTAGGTATCTCACAAAAGAGAAAAAATATGATTTAAAACATTTTCAACTACAATTGTGAACATCAGTTCATGAAATCGAGGCAAAACATGGATGAACCGATGAACCACACAATATATGCACGGTCCATGAGACCATGTATGCACGCAACCACACCTCTTCCTATTCAGCTATTCTAGTCTACAGAAGATGTATAGTAAAGTGAACACTCAAAAGTCAAGACATGCTTCCATACGCACTCTTTTGCAACAAAAAATTCATCTTTCAACCATTGAAAGTATCCTTACACCAATCAGTAACAGAAATGAAAACTGGTTTTATTAAACCAAACCAAACAGTTCGGGGGTTAAAGTAGAGCATGAAATACAAACTTTCTGCGGCAAAAAAAGATGAAATTCAACTAGTGAATGATGCATTAGGGTGGAATTAAGAGAAGCGAAATGCCTTGGAAGAAGGGAGGATTTCGGAATAGAAGCGAGGGAGGCCGCCACGAGCCTGGGTTGAGTAATTTGATGGAGACGGAGATGATGAAATCGCTCTAAAGGTCGATTCTTTAGAACATGTACGGTTCAGTAAGAACGCAAGACTGATGCTTCGAACACGGACTTGCATTAGGATGAAGATTAACTTTGAAAAGGGTCACTCGCCCGACCCCTATATCCTACTTCCGCTGTAGGTAGATGAGCATCAGATCCAATAGAAAGAAGACATCTCAATAACTCACTTCCTCGGTACATTATAATGTTGAAAATTTTCTCACACACACTCAATCACATAATTTTTATTTTATTAATCCGTGTACCGGTCAAATTTGGCACAATTATTAGGAACTAGACTTATACAAAAACGGGTTCGGGCCGGACTCAGGTCGGACTTTTTATAAATTTTCTGCCCATCATGTGTGGGCGGGCCCGGCCCGGCCCGCAAAAACGGGCCTAACCCTGTGTCCATACCCGCCCATAAGAGCGGGCCGGGTAGTCCACTGGGCCGCCTGGGCCGGGAAAACTTTAATTTTTTCAAAATTATATGAATTTTTAAATACTTTAAAAATAGTATTACAACATTTAAAAAATAATTAATACGCTTATAATGTTTATACGTCTTTCACCACATACAAAAAAATACTTACACAAAAATAATAATGAGAAACTATATCTAAAATTTAAAATTTAAGCACAAAGTATTATCTTTAAGTACAAAAATAGATATTATATTGGTTGGGCTAGTTGTTAAGAACTAAAAATTTAAATTTAAACATAATAAACTATAAATATGTATAAAGAAAAATTATTAAATATAAATATACATGTGTATATGCAAATAAATAAATAAATTAGTATATATATAAATATATATATATTTATATATACTAAATGTAGCGGGTCGGGCTTATCGGCCCGAACGGGCCTACACCCAAACCCAAGCCCGCCCATATCTTATTGCGGGCCGGGCTCGGGCCGGGCCGGTGGGTAAATATATATGCCCAAGCCCGCCCATTTGTGCGGGCAGGCTGGGCGGGCCGGGCGGGTTGGGCCGATTTTGTCCAGGTCTATTAGGAACGGAGGAAGTACAATTTTTTTCAATTACATTTTTCTAATTTAAGAGCTCATTAAAACTACTGTACATTTAATAGGACTGGGGGAAGGCAAATTAGTAAGGGTGTAAGCACTAATGTGCTTCATACGGTCGGTCCATTTTTGAAAGAAATTTTTTCACTATTTTCACTTTTATGTCTATTTGTGAAAAATATCCAATTTTTTACGAACACTTGGTGAGTTAAATAGAGTAAACAAGATGTTTCAATCTGTCATTATCTTTAATTATCTTTAATGTTTTCATAATTCAAATTGATTCAAATTTGGCATGAATTTAATAATTATTGATGAAATAAAGAGAGAAAAGGAAGAGGGAAGTCCATGGTGCAACGTTGGGAACAACATCGAGAGAGAGCAGGTGCAGGGACTCGAATGGTCATACGGAGTAATATTTAGGCTGGGACTTCTATAAATTACAGAAGTATAAGATATAGGTGTACACCCGAGTGTAGTGAATAGTTTGTAGTCACCGGCTAGTGTGACAAATTTATGAAACCTACCCGCTCTGGGTGTTCGGAAAATGACATTTTGACCCTTTTTAGAATATGTTTGCAAACGTTTAAAAAACATTTTTGGACTTTTGGTTCAAAAAACTTAAAATTTGTTTCTACATGCAAGAATTTCTACTTAAATTAAACACTTACAAGCTAAAAGCTGAAAACTGTTTTTTATTTTTTTTTCTATTACACAAAAAACATACTCCGTATATTTACCAAACACTACTTAATGGGGTTAAAGGACTAGGCCCAGAGCCTAATCGGGCCAGGCCCCGAACTTGGACCAGTAGGGCCAAGCCCAGCACCCCAGAGCTCGAGTCGGCCCAACCGACCAGGCCAATCAAGGAGTGGAAGCCTAAGAGAGCCTGTCGTCCAGCCCGGCGGGGAGCCTGCCTTCCAGCCCGGCCACGAGCTTGCCTTCCAGTCCGGTCAGCTGCCTGCCTTCCAGCCCAGTCAGGAGCCTGCCTTCCTGCCCAGTCAGGAGCCTGCCTTCCTGCCCGGCCAGCGGCCTGCCTTCCAGCCCAGTCAAGAGCCTGCCTTCTAGCCCAGTCAGCGGTCTCCCTTCCAGCCCAGCCAGGAGCCTGCCTTCCAGCCTGACCAACGGCCTGCCTTCCAGTCCAGCGGAAGCCTGCCGCACGAGGAGCTCAAGCGTTCTATCTGTCAGCCAGGCCGACCTGCCAGCCATCCAAAAAGAGTAACGGCCAACAATCAATGCACTGTTAATTATGTATTTAATTCCGTATTAATGTTGTAATTAATTTAGTCATCATTATGTTCGGCAGTTACCATTTGTAATCGCCTATAAAAGGCAATTCGAATTTCAAATACAGCTATGCTATTTCTGGCTACCGAATTCCCTTTGCAACTTTCCATATTCGTACTTTCCTAATTCCTGCTTGGGTGTCGTACGTAGCTTTCCTAAGAGCCTAAGAGCGTCTTATTTTGGACCAACATTGGTGCTTTCATTGAGAGCCTATATGGTCTCTCACATCGCTCGAGTAGGAACACAAAGGAAGATGGTTGGAATTGTGTCCCGACCTAACCATGTCTCAATCCACACTGAGGAATCCACCCGGCCTAGCCGCCAGCATGCCCCCGACAACCACGGACAAGCCAGGGGGAGGCGCGCCAAGGTGACCTTCGGAACCGGTTGTCGGGCCACGGCGACCTGAGGGCGACGCTCAACCACAACCAAAGTGAGCTCTCGGTCCGCAACCGACGAGGTGGAGGCCGACGTCGTGCTCCGCGCATGGACCCGACTCAACTCAACGCTAGGGTGGAAGCCCTATAGGAGGCGACTCGAGTTCTGGGGGTCTTGGCTCAAGGTTTCCAGCGGATGGTGTTTAGAGGAAACGTGGATGAGCTTGCCTGTCAACAGACGCCTGCAGATGTGGAGGTGTCCTCCAGGCGGCGTGACGGGCGATGCTCTGATCCGACCACCACAAAAGGGAAGAAGTTTCTCAGCAGCTTAGCCGGTCCCATCGGCCGAAGGGGAGGGGCGCCCAGCAGGGGCGCTCAATGCAGATGGAAGGAGGCGAGTCCTCTCGCCACTCTCACCGTGCGAGCAGCGGGACTGGCTCCATGGAAAGGCAAAACGTGGGGGCCTGGCCTCACGTGCGCAGGTGACTTGGAGGCGCCGCTGGACATGCCCAGCCCCGTGTTAGGGCTGTCTAGGGGAACCCACCGCGGGCTGAGGTGAAATATCTTCGAGAACGCCTTGACGAGTTTAGAAGAAGGGTCGTCGGGGGGAGCTATACACAGCCGACCTCCGGATACCCGAACCTTTCACCTAGGCGGTCATGGATGCGTCGTTGCCCAGAGGCTACAAGCCTTGCGCCATCGAACAATTCAAGGGCGCTTCTGACCCCCAACATCATGTATCTCGGTACCTTTCCTACATGGTGATGATGGGGTATGAAGACGCCATCCGATGCCGCGGTTTCTCTGCTCGACGGGAGTATCACGGATTTTCGTGAGTTGGCTCGGCGCTTTCTCTTGAGGTTCGCGAGCTCCCGAGATGTCAAGAAGAACTTCAGCCACCTGTTCAGCCTAAAACAAGGGAAGAAGGAATCATTGTCGACCTTCTTAACGAGGTGGAGGGCCGAGTGAGTCAAGGTGCAGGGCCTTGATGACAGGACCGGGGTGGCCATGCTCACAAACTCTACTCGGTCGGGGGAGCTTTACAAAGATTTCGTCAGAAGTCCCCCTACCTCGTACGAGGAGGCGCTCGGCCGTGCCGACCGCCAAGCCGAGGCGGAGGATGCCTTGCAGAGGAAAAGAGATGAGGAAGAAGGCTCAAAAGAAGAGAAGAAGAAGGAATCTGGTTCGGATGCTGAGAAAACTAACGGCAAAGCCGACAGCAAGAACAACAAGTACAAAAGTAACAAAAGCAAAGGCAGGGGAAAGGTGGATGTCCCGAGTGAACCGCTCCTGCCCGTCAAGCAATTGACTCCACTTGCTCAGCCAGTTGGGGTCATCCTCGACTACGCGGAGGAGAAAGGTTTAGACAACTTTCCGGAGGAGTGTGATGTGGTGACCGCCAAGTGCAACCACGACCAATATTGTCGATTCCAGCGGAGAGTAGGGCACGACACGGAGGATTGCGTCATTCTCCGATGACAAATTGAAGAACTCATCCAGAAAGGGTACTTAGGCCATTTCGTTGGCAAACAAGGAGGCATCCCGCATAAGAGGAGCCTGACGTGGCAGCGGTCCGACGAAGCTACCACGTCAAAGGAGAAACAGCCTTCAAAGAAGCGAGAGCTCGGTGCCTTCTATGAGGAAGATGATGCCGACCTAGGGGACGGCTCCCGGGAATACCATCGATGTTCATTCATATTCGGGGGACCCCAGGGAGGTGACACCTCTGGAGAATGGAAGCAGTGGGCCCGAGCCCTGTACGTCGGGGAGATAACCAGGGCTCCCACCGACAAGAGGGTGAAGAGGGATCCAATCTTCTTCACCGACGCATATTGGCCACCGATGCCTCCGCCGCACAGGGATGTCTTGGTGATCAAGGTCGAAATCAACGACACCGAGTCCTGATGGACAATGGGAGCTCCGTTAACATCATGTACTTTGACACCTTCCAGGGTCTCGGCTTTGACCGAAAGGACTTGGTCCCGGTAAGAACCCCACTCTTGGGCTTCACAGGGGACTCCATTGAGTCAGAGGGCAGCATAGTCCTCCTCGTGATGGTGGGCTCCGAGCCTTGCGTGTCCAAGTTAGACGTCGAGTTTATCAGCGTATGCCTAACTTGTGCGCATATGATCATCATGGGTAGGTCGACCCTGGAGGATCTCAGATGTGTGATATCCCAGGAGGACCTATGCATGAAGTTCCCCACTCTGAATGGCGTCGGAGTTGTCAGGGAAGACCAGCGGATGGCGAGGAGCTGCTATCTGAAAGCATGCAAACAAATCGGTCAGAAAGACATGAGGGTCCACACCATCAACAACAAAGTCGTGAAGTATGAGGAGGGTCAGCTCCACGGTGAACCCACCTCGGAAGTGGAGGAAATCCAAATTGACCCCGAGAGGCCGGAGCGGAAGGTCAAGATCGGGACCGGGCTCCTGGTCGGCTTGAGGGAGAAGATCATTCAGGTCC